GGCATTAACAGCCCTTGGCACAGATTCCAGAGCACATCTCAGCGACACCGTGATCTACTCCACAACATCTTATACTGCAGAGCATTACTGGTATTACTGCCAGGCTGCAGCGGCACTCAACTCCAAGGAAAGTCAGCTTTTATCTGTGAGGTTACACACTGAGGGAAGAACTTCACTAGAGGCCCTTTAAACGGGGTGAAAACAGAAACATGTATAAACAGTTATGAGGAATAAACATCCCAAAAACTTAATTATTAAATAACGAAAAACATTTGATAAATGTTTAAGTATACTCCTACATAAAACATTTTGCTCCTCATATAATCATTATAGGATAGCAGTAATGGTGTATTAATCCGCAGCTGGAAATAGTCCCAACAAAAACACACTTTTTCATCTGGTTAGTTTGCTCAGTGAAATGCTGTTTTAGGAAATTACTGGGCATTTTTATATCAAATTAAACTATATATTTATGAGCTGTTCAAATAATGTATTCAATAAGACACATGGACCGGGGTCTGAAGGCCACAGGAAAAATATAACAGCATACACAACATCCTTTTTGGGATAAATGCTTATTTAAATTGTGAACAAGATTGTTGTCTAATTGAGAACATATATGAACTGAAATATACTGTCAAAAGCAAAGTCAACCAAATGTGTTGTGCAGTGAAGAGGGCAAAAAACGAAATATATACTCAAATATTTAATCAAAAGGGAGGCTCACATGTGATCAAATACGTACACAAGCATAGTAAAGAAAATGAACAATCAGCAGTATAGTATTCAGTATATATTGCATATATTGCACTATGGGGTCTCGTGGCGCTGCAGCAACACGTTTCCCATCCATCTTTTTAGATTTCTTAATGTATTCAGGGATTTTTTGCTGAGAAAGCACACAATGTTCCAGAGTTTATACACGTCCACACCTGGGAGCCTCCCAGTACCACCAGCACAGTGTCGTACTGGTGGAGCTTTAGCTGCTGCTGACAGTAACTGGGATGAAGTGTCTTGCTGAAGGGCACCTTGATGTAGGGTGTTTAATTTAAATCATCACTCACTCATTCTCCACAATCACATTTTCACAGTTGGTGAAACCCTCCAGCTGCCGGCTCCTCCCGTATAACTTTTATTAACTCTGTCAATTTTCCCAATTACTGCTCGTATCAGACTTTCTTTGGCATTTAATCTTCATTTAAGGATCTGTCTCTGATACGACCTGACGGGAATGGAAGAGAAAATCTACTATTAATGTGTGGAAACAAAGAAAGTACTTTCTAACGCACCTGAGGTTTTTCCTGCTTGTTCTAATCTCCTTTTTCTGTGTTTGTTGCATCCTGACAACTCTCTGACTTGAGGTTTATACAATAATAGGCTGAAAAAGGCAATATTATATAATCCTGCAAAAAAAAGAAACAGATTAAATCTTAAACCAAAGCCTTTAGAGGGTGCACTCTGATTTTACATAAATAGTTAATATTACAAAGTTATAAGTAGTTCTACAAAGCAAAAAGATCGTCTGATTGGTTTGCTGACCGGCTCGTTTGTGATTGGTCAACCACTTAGAGATGTTCCGCCCCTTAGCCTATCACGTACAATGTGTTTGAGCGCTAGCCAATAGAAGTGCAAGTGTTACATAGTGATGTCACAGGGATTTGGCCGACAGCCTCCCGATTCAACATGTCGAAGCGGCGGCGGAAGGTGTCGGCACGGCCGAAAAGACTCGACGGTGCGGGACACACCAATCTGAGTAGGGCGACAGGACGCTCATCGACGGCCAGACATCTATCGGCGGCCAAAATCGGGTTGGTGTGTCCGGGGCTTAACACACTAAGAAAGGGAAAATCCCAAAAAGCATAATAGGGCCTCTTTAAACTAAAATAGAACCAAAATGTAAGGTCACATTCACACCAGCCTTGTATAGTCCGGTTGTATCAAACCCTTGTGCGTTTACCCGCTTGGTGCGGTTCGTTTGGGTTTATGTGAACGCAGTCCGAGACCTCTGAAGTGAACTAAACAACCGGACTCTGGTCCGCCTAAAAGAGGTGGTCTCTCTCGGACCGCTTGCTAGTGAACTCTGGAGCGGTTCATCGCTGGTGTGAACCATACTGTAGGTGTGAACGCAGTCCGCACCAAAACATAGGAAGCGTAGTATCTACGAGTCACAAGAACGCGGATGTCTTCAAAATCTTTAGCGAAAGAGTAAATCAGAATGAAGTGTTGAACAGTGTCGTGTAAAGTAAAAATGCTCCGTCAACTACATAAAAGTAAGAACACCTGCCGTCGGTGAAACCTCCTCCTGACTGCAGAACGTCTCTCATTATATGTGTTATAATATTTTTTTTAATGGACGTTGTCTGATTATATAATAATATGCTCGTAGAGTCTGTTGATCTCCAGATTAACAGCAGCATGAAAATAACCTGCCGATGCTCCATGGCGGAGGCTCCGGTAGAAATGGCCGGGATTTGCGTTTGTACCTCCTTAATGTCTGACCAATGGTTGAACAGCATTTCCGTGCACATGACTTGTGTTTAAAGTTTATAGAGAGAGAGACTGTTGCACTACAGTTAGACGGATCCACCTATAGTCTTTTCAAAACTTATTGGTATTCCTCTCTACCTGTTATTACTTCCCTTCCTCTAATCTGAAATGACTTCAGTCGTAGAAATGAGCTTTCTCAGACGCTGATAATTTGCTGAGGAAAAAAACAAAACTTGGCAGAGAAGCAGTTTCTTAAACCAAAGCAAACACACCCAACAACAAATGGTGCTTATTTATTCATAGACGTACCCTCATTTCCATATAAATGTACGTGACCTATGGGAGGCTTGTTTGTTGTTTGGATTCACTCGGAGAAAGCAAACAAAAATCTAATTTCTCACCAGTGTTTTCTCTCGCAGACAAAGCATGCGGCCATTATTTCACCTTGTTGGATATTCTTTCATCGTTTCAATATCTGATTTTGCAGGCTGCTATCTCAGATAACTGTGTGTGTGTGTGTGTGTGTGTGTGTGTGTGTGTGTGTGTGTGTGTGTGTGTGTGTGTGTGTGTGTGTGTGTGTGTGTGTGTGTGTGTGTGTGTGTGTGTGTGTGTGTGTGTGTGTGTGTGTGTGTGTGTGTGTGTGTGTGTGTGTGTGTGTGTGTGTGTGTGTGTGTGTGTGTGTGTGTGGACTTTCATAATACATATTGACTCCCAGATGTCATTGAGTGTCCACTTAGCTTGCCGCTGCATCTTTCAGGTGGAGCTTTTTCTTGTCAGAAAAACACACTGAAGTGCTTTCTTCTCTTGTAGATATAGATGTGTTTTTTTCCCTTTCTCTAAAACAGAACTCAAGCAAGAAATAACACAATAAATAATAAGTTGTTTATTGAGTTATCGGGCCCAGTGTGTCCTTATCACGGGGGAGCTCACGACTTCTCACATCCAAAGCTACGTTTTTATGTTACGCAACTTCAGAATTAGGGAATGTGTCGTGGGATCTGCTGTTTTTTTTAGATGAGGAGCCAAATAGGACAGATAAGGAGCAGGGAAATTTTTTTTTACTTCAGGGGGCCCTATTATACTCATTTTAGGTTCATATTTGTATTTTGTCTCTACTGTGACATGTCTCCATGCTTTAATGTTCAAAAAGCTCTTTATTTTTCTCCTACTACCTGTGCTGCAGCACCTCTTTTCACCCTCTGTCTGAAACCAGAGCCCAGTCTGCTCTGATTGGTTAGCTGGCCGGCTCTGTTGTGATTGGTCAACTGCTTAGAGATGTCCCGTCCCTTAGCCTATCACGTACAAACCTATATAACACACAACAGGAAAGGGAAAACCCCCAAAAAGCATAATGGGGCAAAATGAAATGCCAATAGTAAGCAGTACTGCAGCAGTAATCTGATTACTTTTTTTGTATCCTGATGACATAATCCTGTTACATGTAGTCTGTTACTCCCAAACCTGTCATCACTGAGGGGCTGCAGGCGTTTGTTTTCTGAAAGGAGATGTCACTTTGTGTTTAATACGTTTTCAAACAACACGCACAAACTGAACAGATGAGTGATGCTTCCCCCTGTGATGTTAGATTAGCAACTAAAATGGGCCATTATTAGCAGTCACTCTGCTTAATCCAGTGATAAATCAGCCTGTGTGTGTGTGTGTGTGTGTGTGTGTGTGTGTGTGTGTGTGTGTGCGTGCGTGTGTGTGTGTGTGTGTGTGTGTGTGTGTGTGTGTGTGTGTGTGCGTGCGTGTGCGTGTGTGTCAGCACTGATGGCCACATCTGTCACGCTGAGCACCTCATCGCAACCCAATTAAAGATGAGAATCCATCCGGCGTGCAGATTGATACTTCAGGCTGCGACTAATGATTATTTTAATTGGAGCTGCTCTAATCGATATTTTCATATTAACAAAGGAGCAAATGAGTGTGTGGGATGTGAGAGGAATGGCTCACAGTGACAGGTCTCATCTCGGCAGATCTGTTGTGTCTTTTAGCTCTTAGTTTTGGTTTTATAGCGCCCAAACTTTATTGATTTCATCAACTCGGTAAAACAATAATACCAGCTCATTTCCAAATGACACAAAGACTAAGTGTGTAGATGTAAAATCATAGGATAAAAGAGGCCCTGATTAATTACTGTAAAAGTCACCAAACCTTTATTTTAAAAGTGAAGGTGAAGAGAGAAGATAACAAGCACAAAATGACTTATGGAGGCTCAAAATGATCAGATATGAAATAGAGTGTGACAATATACACACGATGACATACGGTACATCTGAGATAATAAGTAAAAACTGACAATTATTTTATGATCTATAATAAGTTTTACCGAAGACACAGTTTAAATCTTAGCAGTGCAGCTTCTTCATAACGTTGGCAACATATTCTTACATTAAATGACAAACAGAACAGCTTCAAACTAACGTTGCCTTTAGTCGGTGGTTTACTGTGTTACCGTTGAGTTATAACACTTTAAATGACCAGCTTTCCTGTTAATGTCTGATTTCCTGCAGAGATCTTGAGGCTCATGTGGAAGTCCGTGGAGAAGATGAGGTGCTTCAGGAAACGCTCCATGTTCCCCTTCCTCGGCTTCCTCATCACCTTCCTCCTCTTCTTCAACCTCTACATGGACGATGGATACGTGCTGGTGAGATTCATCCGCATTTTCTTTATGCTTATTGTACCATTTTTCATTCTGTCATTAGAGGTATTTTTTTTCTCAAGCCACTTTATATTCTACTACATTACTTTTAAGACTGTTTTCAGGTGTTCACATATCCAATAATGTTGAGTTAGATTGTTCTTTAAACCAGTTAAACCCCACGGCCCCAGCGTCTGAGGGCTTCTTAATATTTAACAAACTATGAGTGTGTCATACCCACTTAACGGGAAGAAACTCAGCTATCAGACAATATTAACCATTTTTAGCTAAATGAAACAAAAGGGTAATAACAAAGGCTCTGAATTAGCCCTGAGCGAAAAATGCTATCGCACTTAGCACAGAACTCAAGGTAAAATACCCTTATTAGAGATATGGAAAATGCACCCAAATGACCCCAGAAGTGTTTTTTTTTTGCTAAACCTCTCTAAAAAGGTCAAATGTCACTTGTTCTGCATCAATCTTGATACAGGGTACTTATTATATGTCATAGTTTGGATTCCTAAAGCTTTTAGTCTACTATCCCATCATTCAAGGGTGGTTTTTGGACGGACACAACCATTTTAAAATGTTTACTATGTTCAATCTGAATTTACTTTAAAATAAAAAAAAATCTATATTGATTCTGACTCTTCTACATCCAACTCACAGGTTTATCATTGCTTTGAGAAAAAAATATTAATTTACCCCTTTTAGAAGGGAAGATATAGTCATTTGTTCTGGGCATGTCATTTTCGAGCCTGAGACCTGGAAAACAGGCTCAGGGCTTAACAGGTTAACAAAACTGACTAAACAATCATATGATCAAAGTTCCTCAACCAGGGTTCCTGCAGGTTTCGCCAACTCAAATTTAAGACTTTTTAAGACCTTTTTAAGACCACTTTGAATAGAATTTAAGACCTATTTCACGGCAAGAAAGTATGAAGGAAAATTGCTATGAAAGAAGAAATACGTCCCATAAATGTATTCATGTTCAACATAAGAACAATGACTGAACATAACAGCATAACAGTACAGAACTGTGTTAGCGTGTTAGACAAAAAGTGTGTATGTGTGTGTGTCTCTGTGTGCTTGTGTGTGTGTGTGTGTGTGGGCTGTGCAATTAATCATATTTTAATCGCAATTACGAAACAACATAATCGATTATTTTGCTTTGCTAGGTTGTGACAGTGCACTACAACATATTTGATTAATTAATTTTAGTCTAATTTATTTTTATTTATCATATTTGTATATGTTTAGTAGCTTGTGGAAGTGCGCTCCAAAATATTTGTTGATCTTGTTTATTGGTATTTATTATTTTTGATATTATTTATTTAAATGTATCATTTATTTAATTTATTTTTTCAGTTGAATTATACGTTCAGGGTAATCAACAGTTAAAAAGATACTGTCCAAATTATTATTTGTTTTAAAGTTCAATAAATGGATGTTTTCAAAGTCAATTAATAATTGTATTTAATAATTGTGATATCAATTATTGACCAAAATAATCGTGATTATGATGTTTGCCATAATCGAGCAGCCCTAGTGTGTGTGTGTGTGTGTGTGTGTGTGTGTGTGTGTGTGTGTGTGTGTGTGTGTGTGTGTGTGTGTGTGTGTGTGTGTGTGTGTGTGTGTGTGTGTGTGTGTGTGTGTGTGTGTGTGTGTGTGTGTGAGAGAGAGAGTGACAAGAGCTATATTCAGAGCTCTGCTGCCTTGGCTACAATCTTTCATCGTTGCTGTTGTATGATTGGTGTTTAACTACGGTATTTAGCGTCTACAGCACCTCCGCTTTTAGGGTTGACGTAGACCCAAACGTTGCCCGGAGGTCCCAATGTGTTGTTGCGGGAGCTGCTGCACTAGCTAACGCTGCACTAGCTAACGCTACATTAGCCAAACAAACGCTAATTTATTTTGCAAAAGGTGCAGCGGGCTTTAAACACGTTCCCCTCCCCTGGTTTCAACCAAGCACTAAATTCGATGTTTTCCAACCAATAACGGTTGAACTTACACTTCCCCATATTTATTCGAAGATACATGAGTTTCTGTCTGCCGCTAGCTGAAGCTTGGTTGCTAGGTTACTAGCTGGGTGTTCTCCAATAAGGGGCCGGCGGAAACAAAGTTAGTGATTACTGGTTCCATGTTGATTTATTTCAATACAAATTGTTGGGGGGAACTGAAAGGCTATTACCGTACTGGTTACTTTGCAGCCCGGACATTTCCCCCAAAACACATTTAGACGCTATCGCAACACAGAAGTACCTTTCAAATCCGATCATTTTTAAGACCTTCTAAATCATATTTAAGACCTTTCTTATTTTTTTGGCCATATTTAAGACCTTTTTAAGGCCTTAAATTCATATTATCAAATTTAAGACTTTTTAAGACTTTTTAAGACCCCGCGGGAACCCTGCTCAACAGCCCATAATGAGACATAGACCTTAGTTAATAGTTCAAAATTAGCTCAATTACAGAGGAGCCTTTTCAGATTTTACTACTTTTACTTTAAACTAAGTGCATTTTCCTGTGTAGACTTAAACTGACTGTCATACCTTAATGAATATTAATTCGTATATAAATAACCCTGTGACCTTAAGAAGGCTTTGTTTTCCTCCATGATGAATCAAGAACAAAACAAGTCTTGATACATTTAAATAATAGGGGTGTTGCTTTTTAAAACAGCAAAAATACATCAACAAGCTCTCACACAACTCAAGCAGTAAAATAATAATCAATCATCAAAGCACAAATGCAAGGTAACACCGGGTGAAACAAACTATCTTTGATTGTGTGTTCTTGTCATTTGTTTTTCAGGAGGCAGAGAAGAGACAGCTGGGAGAGACGCTGATGCATCCTGGGAACTCAGAGAGATACGTGCACACCTTCAGGGATCTGTCCAACTTCTCCGGGACCATCAACGTGACGTATCGCTACCTCGCAGGAATCCCTCTGCCTCGCAAAAGTCAGTATTTCTACCGCAGATATACTACTCTGATGCAGGGCTTTTTCTGTAGTTCTGAAAAACGGTTGTGTTCCTTTTGCCTATAAGTTCTTAATTAACTTAGAAAATACACAATACTCTTTATTTGATATGTATTGAATTAACTCAAAAGTGTCCAAAAATAGGCTACCATGTGGTTAGTTTATATAGATTTATTATCAGCATCATTCAAAAGCAAAACAAAAGCACGACACAAGGTATAACAACAGAAAGACAAACTTTGAAAAAATGACACTTTTGAGAAATATAAAACTAAGACATGAAGACAGATTAAGATATATTTGAAAGAAAACATATGATAATAAAAGATAAAGCAGATGAGTTATACATGGAGGATTCAAATCAAATCGATGTTCAATTGTAAAAAAAAACAGGATTAGGATTTGAAATTTTTGCCGTATCGCCCAGCTCCACTTTTGTTCACATTTTTGTTTGATAATGAAGTAACTAAACTAATGTTGATCTTCACAGAGTATCTCACCATCGGTTTGTCGTCTGTAAAGAGGAAAAAGGGGAACTACCTCCTGGAGACGATCAAATCCATCTTCGATCAGTCCAGCTACGAGGAGCTGAAAGAGATCGTGGTGGTGGTCCACCTGGCAGACTTTGACCTGGCCTGGTGTGAGAACCTGGTGCAGGAGATCACCAGGAAGTTTGCTCACCACATCATAGCGGGACGCCTGCTGGTGATCCAGGCCCCGGAGGAGTACTACCCCTCTCTGGACGGGCTGAAGAGGAACTACAACGACCCGGAGGACCGCGTCCGGTTCCGCTCCAAGCAGAACGTGGACTACGCTTTCCTCCTCAACTTCTGCACCAACCTGTCTCACTTCTACATGATGCTGGAGGACGACGTGCGCTGCTCCAGGAACTTCCTGACGGGGCTGAAGAAGGTGATCACCTCCAGAGAAGGGTCCTACTGGGTGATGCTGGAGTTCTCTAAGCTGGGCTACATCGGGAAGCTGTACCACTCCAGAGACCTGCCCCGCCTGGCTCACTTCCTGCTCATGTTCTACCAGGAGATGCCCTGCGACTGGCTGCTCATCCACTTCAGGGGTCTGCTGGCCCAGAAGGACGTGATCCGCTTCAAGCCCTCGCTGTTCCAGCACATGGGCTACTACTCTTCCTACAAAGGAGCGGAGAACAAGCTGAAGGACGACGACTTCGAGGAAGACTCCATAGACATTCCTGACAACCCTCCTGCCAGCCTTTACACAAACATCAACGTCTTTGAGAACTACGACGCCACCAAGGCTTACAGCACTGTGGACGAGTACTTCTGGGGGAAGCCACCGTGCACAGGGGATTTCTTTCTTATAATCTTTAACAAATCGACTAAAATCAGCAGGATTAAGATAGTGACGGGCACCGAGGACAGACAGCAGGACGTCCTTCACCACGGAGCGCTGGAGGTGGGACAGAAGTCTGTGGACACTAAGCAGGGCCGGCAGTGCACGTCCTACATCACGTTGGGTGAGTTTAAAGGCGGCAGCATCGAGGTCACCAACGTGGATCATAAGATCGGCTTCGACATTGAGTGTGTGCGGCTCGTTGTCACCGCCAGTCAGAAAGAGTGGCTCATCATCAGGACTATCAGCTTATGGACCACACAGCCTGTGAGCCAGTTCATCAACTAACAGAGGGATGTTATAATCTGTAATGTACAGGATCGATTTGGGAGTTCATTTTGGACTACTTCTTGGAAATTACGTTTATGGGATTCAAAGCAATCCATATTTTCTTGGGTTGTTCAGAGATCTGCTGTATAGCTGCGTTTCCACCACCTGGTACGACTCGCCTTACCTCAGTTAAGTCCTGTGACCCGCCAATGACAGTTCTCTCTGATATAAACAGACAATAAACCACTCTAATAGTGTCAGAATCGGCCAAGTCATTGTGGAACTTTAGTCCATATCGGCTATAAAGCTAATTGACATGCTGATTGTAAAAATTGCCCAACTGGCGCATACTGTACTACACATTTCTAACATGAAACTTTGGGGTATTGAACATTTCCGGGTTCCCAACAGGACTCTATGAGCCGCCAAATAGACTTTAATGGAAACCCAAACAGAGTAAGACGATGGAGCGTCCATGTGGTGGAAACGCAGCAAATTATGTTTTCTAGGGCTGTACCGAATGTGATGTTTTTAATGCAAAGCTTTTATTGGAGGTGTTTGAAAGAAGCTCCAAATGTCTGTTGTCAATACTGTGTAGCAACATCCTGAAAATATTATGGAAAACAGAATTATTTGATTTTGTTATGCTGTATAAATGTAAATGATGTTGCAGTGAGATCGCTGCACCTTTAAAACAGGAAGGTGTTTCCTTTTGTGTGCTGAGAGTTTTTTGAAGAGGGAGAGTGTGAATTATGTTTTTAAAGGCTTTACACCAATTAATATGATTGAAGAAGATTTACTTTAATCAGATAAACACATGTTGTTAATTTGGGAAATTATCTATCTTTTTGCAATAACTCAAAACATTGTGGAGTTATTTTAAATGTTTAGATCACTGCAGTCAGAAAGAAACACATCTACCACTGAAATGTGTGTATGAATGATATAATACTAATATTAATAGTATAGCCGTATCTTTATCTGCAACTGTGCAGAAATACCTGGTTAGGACAGAATGAATTGTCATTTGCTTCTTCAAATTATTTGGTACAGCCCTATAGAGAGGCGAAGTCCCGCCCATCTACTTCCGACCCATGGGACCTTATTTCGGAAAAATGATGTATTGAAGTCAATGGGGAGAGAAAGATTATCTTTCGATCCCGTTTGAATTGTGCCACGAATTACACATATGATGTTTGTCAATATTAAATAATAATTTCCATGTCAAAAAAGTCACAGTTTGTCGTAAAACTGTTGAAATATAAGACTATGAAAAATACGCAACTAGAAAGACTACAAATCCCAGAATCCCGGTCCTGCATGCTGGCTCTTATGAACCGACTAACTCCCCTTGTGTGTATGTACAGCTCTCAACATGCCCAGACTTGTAGTGATTTTCACCTCTTTTAATACTTTTCGCCTCATTCTGAAAGAAAGAAGTGAAATGTGCCAACGTGACGGCCGTCTTGGTGTGTGGTGCGAGACGGGAGATGTAGTTCATTGAGCGGTTTCACACAAAAAAAGTGTTACTTCACAGTTTTACCACACATTTTTATTTTTTTGACTTGCAAAATTATCTTTTAAATTGACAAACATCATATGTGTAATTCGTGGCACAATTCAAACGGGATCGAAAGATAATCTTTCTCTCCCCATTGACTTCAATACATACTTTTTCCGAAATAAGGTCCCATGGAGCTCCCCGGAAAGGGAGGGACTTCGCCTCTCTATTGTTTTAATGTATTAAATAATCTGTACAGTATGGAGCCTTTATACAAATGTACATTTTCCTAAATCTGTATATAAAACTGTTCTTACATGGCTGCTTTCTTTATTTGTCAATTAGCACAAGGAAAAGCACATACAGTAATGCAGTTGAAATGTGTCTCTTTGTATCTCACCACACACATATGTCAGAGCTGGATCTGTCATAATAAAACCCAGCTGGAGCAGATTTGAGGGATTTGGTTCCTTGCTCAGAGGCTCTTTGGCGGTCCCTCTGAGTCAAACCCTCTCCAGCTACCAGTCCACACTGCATACTGGGTCCTTATGTGGAAATTGAACCTTCAAATCGTTGCACTTGACTTTTCAGGGTGTCCGCGGGGTCTTAAAAAGTATTAAAAGTTGATAAATCAATTTAGCGAAAATGAAGGCTATTAAAAAGTATTAAACGGCATTTTCCAAGGTATTACATTTTGCAGATTGTTTTCAATAACTATATAAATTGTCCAAAGAGGTTGTATTCTACAGTGTGCCTGAATGTAATCATTGCGTAGGTGTGTAGTGTGATTCTGTGTAGTTTATTTATGGCATCCCGTTGGATTTGACGTCATCTGAACAGGACATCGCGAAGGTCCGTTTACGCCGGTTGTTAAACAACATCGTTATGGGGAAATGCAAGTTTGCGTCCAAATGGTTGGAAGATAAGGAGGAAGGACAATCAATACTGTATATAGTCAATGTGAGGTAAAGTGTGTCGCCAATGTAACCGGTTAGAACTCGAAGTGGCGATGAGGTCTTAAAATGTATGGAAAGGGTCTCAAAAAAGGTCTTAAAAAGGTATTACATTTGACTTCAGGATTCCTGCATATACCCTGCTCTTGTAAATGTGCTGTTTTCTTACTTTTTCATAACCTGGTTACAGATGTTTCAAATCAGTGATCAGAATTGTATAATGCAGTGAAACTAAAATGTGTTTCACTTTGATTATCAGGACATTTTTAGGAAGTCATGCACTCAGACTCAATCAATCAATAGCTGCCTTTCACATGCTGTCTCTAAGTTCTAATGAACGAGGATGGATTCAGTGCGACCCTGTTTCCTACATCTAATATTAAACACAATCTAAAAGAAATTGAAAGAGGAAAAGTTTGAATGGCTCATTAGACGGTCTCCCTGAGTAATTCTGTCAAGACTTGTGAGCAGCCGGAGGACCTGAGCGCCACATTGAAGACGTGTCTCCTGTTCAAAGGTGTGAGAACATGCTGAAGAAATCATTCATTTCTTCACGTACCTCTTTCTCAACAATCAACTGGCAACGTCCTTACAGTGATTACTTGATTTATGTATATAAATAGAAAATAAGTATTATTATATTTTTATTTGATATAGCTTCACACTAATGTCTTCATTTTAAGGGAACTCTTAGATTTCACAGGTTTTAATATCACCAACAGCAGATTTTATTTTGGTATAATAACAGAAGGTAATGGATCCTGTTGACCTAAGGGGTGTTACGTAATTTGGACTCCTTCAAAAACACAGATTGTTGTGTTGTATACAGAATTAGAATTAGTATGGAATCAGACCATTATAAGAACTTCTCTCTCCTAACTCATGTCTGTTTCTAACTTCAACTTCAGCTAATTTGTGTTTGGTATCCTTTGCTGCCATCTGCTGGTAAGTTAATTTGTTTAAATGTAATAAACTTTATATACAGTCTATGGTAATAAACTAAATCAGGATCAGAATTGGTTTACCAAGTAGGTTTACACATAAAAGGAATTTGCTTTGGTATATATGTGGTACACACAAAGAGAAAGGAATAAGAATATGTAACAAAATAAAATAAAAATGCGACTGTTATGACAGATATTTAAAAAAAACTATTTTAAGACTATTATAACACATTAACAATATTTACACATGACAAATACTATATACTGTATTTAAAGGGGAGAGCTGTGCTGATTTTAAAGAGGTAGTGTGGAGAAGAAATGTGCAACATGTGTAGGGTTCATTGTAGAAGAACTGTGAAAATTATGAAACTAGTTGACATTTAAAATGTATTTAATAAGTAAGGGATAATGTGCAGCGAGGCGGTCTATTTTATGGGGGAAAGAACACCTGACAGGCAGATCAGGATCCAACGTGAAGCGCATGAAGGGTGTATGCAGTTTGCTTTTCAGCCAAACTGTATACAGTTCAATCGACCGGACTTCTTTGTGCAGATGTGAGGATGTGACCTTAACAACGGTCAATACATCCTTGACAGCGGTCTGTCTGTTCTGGATTAACAACGTGTCATGATATGAAGCAGCTTGGTGGACAAGGGGCTGAAAACAAAAGGAAGAAAATATCAGCACGTGTCATGGAATACAATTATATTAATTATTATTTGAATTAGGCAGGGAGCTAACTGGAGAATGCACACACTGTATCCCACCAGGAAACATACATGTAGAGAGAACACATTAAAGAAGATAATACAAGAAAGGTTTTGAGGTGCTTGTACTTAACCTGAGTATTTTCTTTTTGTACTTCACTATACTTCTACTCCACTACATCAGGGTGTCCGCGGGGTCTTAAAAAGTATTGAAAGTTCATAAATCAATTTAGCGAAAATTAAGGCTATTAAAAAGTATTAAACGGCATTTTCCAAGGTATTACATTTTGTAGCATGTTTTCAAAAAGTATATCAATTGTCCAAAGAGGTAGTATTCTAAAGTGTGCCTGAATGTAATCATTGCGTAGGTGTGTAAGTGACGTAGCCGGTGTACACCTGCGGTAGGGCCTACCTGAATGCGCGGCATCTCACCACATAAAACGAGGCATCGCCTCCTGACTGTCATACCTTTGTCTTCAGCAAGCAAGAGCAAACAACTGAGTGAAGAGAGACGGATAAAGAAGGACAATGGACTCACCATTACTGGAGCAACGACCCTGCCCTTCATGCCCGGGCGTTATTGCAGGCACCGACCTCCACCGCCGCTGTATCCAGTGCCTGGGGTCCGACCACGCGGCGGCCAACCTGGGCCTGCTTCCGGCCTGCAGCGCCTGCCGTCTGATCCCTCGGTTCAGCCGCCGACAGCGGCTGGTGCAGTTCGGGGATTGTTACGTTACGCCGGTGGAGGACCCAGAACTCGAGGTGGTGGAGGACCCAGAATTCGAGGTGGTGGAGATGGAGGACCACGATGAGGGAGTGCCCTTCGTGTTCGCCATGCCAGCGGACTGGACGGGCCCGCTCGTCGGGGACGACGACAACACCAACACCTCGTTGTCTGATGCTTCCGGCGACCGCCAGGAAGGCCAGCAGCACAGGTCAGCGCAGCAGGACTTCCCGGCGGTGATGACTATGGCGGCAGAGCGTGTAGGCTTACCGCTCCCCCCACCGCTGCCACCAAGGGCAGTGAACCGCCTACTTCAGGGCTTCTACGGCCTGGACCGTCCGGCGCAGCCGGCCTTCGTTTCGCCGGCCTTCGTTTCGCCCCCCCTGCCAGACATCTGGCGGTGTGTGGAGGCGACGTGGCGACAGCCACTGAGGACGAAGGTAGTGAAGTAAGAAGATATGATTCTACACTGTATTGAAGTAAACATGTATTGTTTGAACTGTTGTATGTATAATCACTTAGAAAAAGAATGTTATTCTCACTTTTAAATTCACTGGCCCAGAGATTCTATGTTTCATACACCAACATTGATCCTTATCACCACTAAGAGCTGTTTCTAAGTCGTTAAAGACATCGTAAAATAGGAAAAGATCCCCTGGGAAGGAATGTAGCAGTAAGATAAGGTAAAGATAAACATTGACTTTTGACCTAGTGTGGTTTGGGGTCTCACTCTGTTCGAAACTCTGATTGACCTCGGCCAGAAGCGAATCCAGCCAATCAGGACACTTGGGGGAGGTTAGCAGTCTAAACAGCTCCTCCCCAGGCGTTCTCTGGTTCGCTTGGGAGAAAAGTGGGAAGGAAGAATCGACAAATCTCCGCCCCAAAAGTAGATAGAAATACTGTTGTTTGTGTGTGTAAAAATGCTTTTTGGGTTTGGTGAGTTGGTTGACTCCGTTAATCTGTATCCGCATCGCACCATTGACAGAAGGCACTCTCTTCTCGTTCGATGGGTGGTTTGATCCCGATACATTTTGGCCGCATCGCATCACGAATCTAAAAAGCCCGGGGTACCCGGAGTACTCTGTATAACTTGTATATGTGTTTGATTTCCTACCAGTAAACTCAGATAATTGTTGTAACTTTTGATTCCGGTGTTTTCAATTCCTTTCTTAATTTAATAGAGATCCAGCCTCATCCAACGAACGGCGCGTAGCAGAGGTATTCTACTCCAACAAGTGGTGACCTGCCGACGTGGGAGCTGATCTCTAGAAAG